CTTTGACCATCATGACTCACACTACAAATAAAAAAGTAAACCTTGGTCTTCTGCTGTGGAAAAATAATAATTAATAAAATCCTTAGAAAATGTTTACAGTTAACGCTCACATTTCAAATTACATTCAATTATAATTAATTTTATCATTATTATTATTATTATTATTATTATTATTATTATTATTATTATTATTATTATTATTATTATCATTATTATTCCAATTACCAAAGTCTATAATTTTAACGGTGATTCTAAAATTTACTTATTTTTTTTTTATTTGTCACACGAACCGTTCGGAATTGTTCCATTTAAAAAAACAACTGATAGGGATTCAAGGGATTTTATTACGCGCGTACAAAGAAATAATAATGATAATGATAATGATAATATTCGCGTACCTGAATTATAAAGTTTCGAAAAAAAAAATCATCAATCTTATTATTTATTTCGTAGAAAAAGAAAAAATTCATCAAACGACGACGACGCGAAATTTTTTTTTTTTTTTTTCTACTACTTAATCATCATCCCTTCGATCGATGATCAATCAATCAATCAATCAATCAGTCAATCATTCTCGGTATATTTAACGTACGTAAAAATATTTATATCGTATGAATATATTTTTCTTTGTCACAAATTTTTTTTTTTAATTTTTCTATTTTCAAGGTTTTTTTGTTTTCCCTGGGACGATGGAGGATTTTGGACGATCGTTCGTGTCATTAGATTTTTTTTTTTTTTTTTACTGTCGTTAAAAAATTCTAATCATAAGATAAATAATATTTCAACGATATCCGGTTTTCGATAAATCGATACATCGATCGATCGATCGATCGATAATAATGGCGCGCATTGCGTTGAACGATTTACATCCTTACAAGGTATGAAGAAAATATCTGAGGAAAAACCGAAAATCGAACCTGGAATAAATGCTGGGAAATTCCCACAGGTACATAAACTCATCGTCGCGATTATTAATAATAATAATAATAATAACAAAAACGAATCAAATTAATTAGTATAACTTAATAAAAAAAAAAAAAAAAAAAAGAAAAAGGAAAATTCAAACGAAACATTTCGAACGTCGTCGAACATTTTAAAATTATTATTATCATCATCGTCACATTTAAGGTATTTCAATTATTTTATCATTGGACAAGGTATACAAAATCGAATTTTCTATTATTTATCAAAAATGAAAAAAATAATTAAGATTAATAATGTCCGAAAAATACATATAAGGGCTAACGTGGCACTAATCGAAAACATTCGTCAAAGAAATTTTTCACGTTGAGTTAAAATTGAAAATTTTAAATAATAATAATAATAATGAAAACGTTTATAAAAATTATATTAATCGGAGTGATTTTGTGCGTCGGTGTTAATAGCGTTCCACAAGGTACGAATTCATATTATTATTATCATTATTATTATTATTATTATTATTATTATTATTATTTTCGGTTGTGCGCGATCACGTTACGATTTTTCAAATTAAAAAAAAAAAAAAAAAAAAATTTATTCGTATATTGATGAATGTATAGTTATACGACGATTTATAATTATCATTATTAATGCTATTAATTTCAGGTACGAAAGATGAAAATGTGGAAAAACCCGTGGAAACGATGATGGGTCACGGCGATGATGAAACGTTACAACCAAACGCGAATAAAGGTTTTATCACGTTTAAAAAAATCCGAGAGGAATTCCCTGATCTCGTTAAAAATATACCCGTGCACGGGTCTAGAATACCCCCGGGTAATCCATCCTACGGATTGGGTATCGGTACCTTGTTCAACACTCTTTTGGGCGGCGTACATTCACTGTATCAAGATTTACTCAACAGGCAACAAGCATTCATAAATCTTTTGACGTGCGGTAATTGCGTCAACGAAGGATGGGATGCCATCGTCGACGTGGCACTAACCGTACCCGAACTCGAATGGGTTTACAAACCCTCCGACAAATCTCCCACGACGTTTTTCACGGCCGTTCATCAAAATGGTACCGTGACGGGTATCGGAGGTTCGGTTGTCAATGGGAGACCCATCGCCGAATATGCATTCGGTAATGACGGTATAAAACGTTATCTCACGGAAAAACAAAAGATAAAATCATCCGGATAAAAATCAAAAATTTTCCAGCTATTGTTATTATTATTATTATTTAATGATAATGTACCTACTCCCCCCCTCTCCCCAAATATTTACTTTTTTTTTTTTTGAATATTTTAAAATTATGAAGTCATCGTGCATTTTTCACGAGTGGGAAAAAATTAAATTTGATTTTGCGGTGTATTAAAATCCCCCCTCCCCCCGTGTCGGTTAAATTTCAATTTATATAATTTTAATTTGCGTTTTTTTTTTTTTTTTTTTTTTTTTTTAAATTGAACCGCAGCAAATTTTTTTTTTCCCGCGAAAATTTAAATTAAAATTTTTCGTAAAACCGAATCAAAAAAAAAAAAACAAAAAAAAACATGGCGTACTCTTTGTTTTTCCCCTTAAATTCTTTAAAAATTTTATTTTTAATTTAAATGTGAATTTGCTATAATAAAACTATAAAAAAACTTTTTTTTTTTGCTATAATTCATTTAGATTATTAAAAAATAAAAAAAAGAAAACTTTATAAAAAATTTTCTTTTCTTTTTCGAAAATTTCCAGAAAAAATATTCAACCAGACCCCTTCGAACATTTCCTCCTTTTTTTTTCCTTATTGCGAAAATATATTATTATTATTATTATTATTATTATCATCGAAAAACGTTTTTTTTCTAACTCTATACGATTCCTTCATCTTTTTTCCATGAGCGATAATGATAATGATAATAATAATAATAATAATGTTACATAATAATTTTTTTTCTGTTGAAAAAATAAATAAACGTTAAAGTTTTTATGACGTCATTTGTTTTGTTTTACGTTATCGAAAACGAGCGAACCTTAATTTTTTTATGTTTTTACTATCAGCTGGCATTTTAGTCAAATCGACTAATTTTAAATAAATAAATAATAATAAAAATAATAATAATAATAATTATATTTATTTATTTATTTACGTTTTCCATGAAATCTTTCGTTGCAAATTTTTTTTTTTCTTTAAATTTAATAATTATCTTTAAAAAATTTTTCCATTCGAAAAAATTTTTTTTTTTTTTTACCCCGAAATTTTATTTATTTATTTTATCATCATCATCATCATTATTATTATTAAAATTTGAGAGTCGGACAAATTTGTTTAAAAAACAAAAAAAAAAAAAAATATTTCGAGATTTGCGAAACCGGGGCCTTTTTTGTAATTGTTGAGTCCAAAAAGTCTAATGACCCGATCGTCTGACTACCCAACAAAGAAGAATGTTTTGTATCTATCTCTCTCTCTCTCTCTAGTTAGGTTCGGAAAATTTAAACGAAATCTTTTATTATTAAAATGATTATTATTGGCGAAATCGTCTTTATTATAACGTAAATTTTTTTTTCTCCGACATTTCTGCTTCCTTTTTTTTTCTTTTCTTTTCTTTTCTTTTCCTATTCTTTTCTTTTCTTTTCTTTTTTTTCTATTCTTTTCCTTTCTTTTTCTTTTCTTTTAGGGAAAATGAACGACGAACGAAGGAACAGACGAAATGACAAAAAAAAAGAAAAGTTTACAAGATATTTGCGTTATAAAAGAAAAACAAAAACAAAAATGGCGTCGTTTGAATTTATCTTAATGACCCAAAAAAAAAAAACGATGAGGTTCAATCATCGGCTCGGAAAAGTCTGATTATATTAACAGTGAAAAGCCTGTTTTTCTTTCTCTTTCTCTCTCTCTCTCTCTCTCTCTCTCTCTATCTCTCTTTCTCTTTTTAATGCCATTTGCCACAACCTTATCAAAATTTTTTTTTCTTTTTTTTTTAAACGTGTGTTTTTTCAAGTTCAATAAGGCACGATTCCAAGAACTTTTTCTAATTTATCTCATTTGTTTGTTTGTTTGTTTGTTGTTTGTTTTTCGTTTTTTTTTTCTTTCTCCCCAATAAACGTTTTAAACGGAAATTTTTTTTTTTTATTTAAAATTAAAACAAAACAAACGTTATTAATTTTAAAAGACGAAGAGATAGATAATCGATAACCTATTGAAAACTTTTTTTTTTTTTAACATGTCGGAAATTATACCTATAAAAAAAAATCGATTCGACATTGAATTTAAATTTTCAAGGTCAATGATACCTCACAACTCTTCTTACGTTTTCCCTCTCTCTCTCTCTCACACCTTCCCTCCCCTCTACCTCCCTTCCCCCTTCAGTTCCCCCCCAAATTTCGTACGGTAAATGATGATTTTCCATGATTGGAAAAAACAAACTTACGTGAAAATAATAAATCTCGTTTTGACATTTTAGTTACGATTAATTCCGCACGAGAGCGCTTTAATGGCGCGTAAATAATAAAAATTTTAAAAATTTAGTTACATCCATTCGCCGATAGGTGACTCTTAAAACTTTATCATCTAAGTACCCGTTTAAATGGAACGACAACGACAACAACAACAACAACAACAACAACAACAACTACTACTCTTCTTCTTCCACTTTTAAAAATTATTGATTATTAATTAATAATTAATAAAATATTAATTTATTAATTTCAAACCGGTAAACGACGATTTGAAGACACATATTTATCATTTCTCTTTCTTATTTATTTATTTATTTAATTTTTTTTTTTTTTAGTAGTCAAGAGAAAGTTTTAAAATAAAATAAAAACTATTTAAGAGTACCGAGTTCAAAAGTTGTTAAATAAAATCAATAATAATAATAATAATAACACAACCTTTAATGTAAATTTATTTTCTCTCTCTCTCTCTCTTTCATTCCATGTTTACAAAGCAATAAAAAAAAAAAATCTCGTCGTGTTCAAGAAAAATAAAATAAAAAATCATTAATGAAAACGATCTCAATTTTAAAACGCTTACATTTTTTTTTTTTTTTTTTAATTAAAAAAAATAAAATTTTCATTATCATTATCATTATCATTATTATTATTACCATTTAAGTACATTTTCACACACTCGTTTACCTTGGGCAAATAAAAAAAAAAAAATCGTTATTTTGACGATTTAAAAAAAAAAAAAAATAAAAACAAATTACACATGTCGGACACGAAAGACTTTTTAAAAATTCCCAAAAAAAAAAAAAAATATTAAATTTTCATTTCACGGATATTTAAACATGATGTCGATGACAGAACAGAGACCGAAAAAAAATTATTATTATTTTTCAAAAACAAACAAACAAACAAACAGGCAAACAGACAAACATTTCGACCGTGAAAATTTTTTTTTTTTACGTAATAAAACACGCGAAAATTTTTTTTATTTTTATTTTCCCAACAAAAAAAAACGTCATTTTTTTATTAATACCTTTTCCAGGTAATAATACATCATATATTACTTCTCCATAAATAATAATAATAATAATAATAATAATAATAATAATAATGATGATGATGAAAAA